CTGTCTATGTACTGCTGTCTAAAAACAGCTTTAGCAGTTTTCTGTAGTTGTCAATAAAGATCTCATATTATCGAAATCTTGTAATTCTTGACCAATGATTTATTTAGGATTATACAATCATAACATTGTGAAACATTGTCACAACCATCGAAAAAGGCCTGTCATTAACTATAATGTTGTTACTATCTTTAACGAGGACTATACAACGCATGGTCAAGCCTTGTGAGGATTTACAGGGTTTCTGTAAAGTTATTATGATAAAAATAATGAATTATAGATGCCCCCCTCCATCGGTGCCGGTGGTTTGTCTGATTTGTCTGTCCTATCTGAAGCTGCAAGGAAAACGTAATTGGTACAATTTCCAAGTCAGAATCTGACGAATCGCAGTTTTCTGGCCTTTTTTGTTGATTAGCATCAGTGTTATTAATCTATACCATAAAGGTGTTGGATGGTTTTCCAGATAATCATACTGATATTAATATATATACTGACAGTTTGCCAGATAATAGCTCCATTATAACAACTTGCTTAAATTTATGAGTATTTTATTCGAACACTACAGTCAATTAGCTTCAAAAATTTTGTTGTTTGCTTGATAACAATGCCAAAATCAGGAATTTACCCGCCATGTCCAGGTCAAATATTATCCTTCATTGGACACTCAGATGGTTTTCCTCCATAAATAGAAATATTATGGACTGTACGACGTGTCAGGTTGTGCGATCTGGCAGGTAAATTCCTGATAATGTTCGAAAATAGTAATGGGACTTTCGAAAAAGAATTATCTGTATTACTATACAAATACAAGCTAATTAATTGATTGTGCTTTTCGAACAAAACAACGATAAGTTAAATTTATTATTGTCTGGGAAGCTGTAGTTAAATAAAGTACCAATATGTAATTACACACATTAATATACAATCAACGCACTGCCACATCATTAACTACAGTCAATATATCTTAACTTATTCGAAAATACAATCAATTAGCTTCAAAGTGATACAAAAATTTTTGTATTTATTTCGAAAAAAAAGTGTACTATATGTGATTATCAAGTTGTGATTATCTACTCAATTAAAATGAAAGTTTTTACTCCATTTCAACCAGTCCTAAAGTCAGAAGTGAAAAACAATGGGTCGAACCACTTAGCGACTTCAGTTGTAGCAAACGCTATCAACGAATCTGCTTTTATTGCTGCTCCTATAGAGCTCTATTCTGCAAAGTATTATTGGACTTGTGCTCTTGGTGGAACCGCTGCCTGTGGATTCACGCATGCATTGGTCTGTTAAGCGGTGATAGCTTTGTGATTAACAGTCAGGCGAACGAAAGTGACTGGAAAATATACTAAGACGGAAAATTGTTCCGATTTAGGTGACGCCCTTGGATCTAGTCAAATGTAGAAAGCAGGTTGCTTTGACAGTTTGCATAGTGCAAAGATAGTTGGATATCTCTTGTTTCGAGTCTTAATCATATATGAGTGCTTGATAACCTTCTGCCTCTCGCTATATCGATCGCATTTAACGTTTCATTCTTCTGTTCCACACTTTCACAGGTTGATCCAACTATCTACAAAAGCAACTTGGATGGTTGGGTTAAGATCCACCGCGAGCATGGTTTCGGTACGCGCGGTCTGTATACAGGAGTTACGCCTACATTTATTGGATACTCGTTTCAAGGAGCTGCAAAGTACGGGTTCTATGAATTGTTCAAAAAGAAATATATAGATTTAGCTGGTGAGGAAACAGCCCATAAGTATCGTACTACGCTTTATCTGGCTGCCAGTGCAAGGTGAGAACTGTTCCGATCGATGGTATTGAGACATAGATGCGAGACATGAGATTAATCATACTTGGTGCCTGGTTAGTGCTGAAATCCTTGCAGATATCGCGCTATGTCCTTGGGAAGCACTGAAAGTAAGAATGCAGACCGCAACGACGCCGTTTGCTACGTCAACAGTCGAGGGATTTAATAAGATTCTCAAACATGAGGGCATAAGTGGGTCAGTCTACGTTTCATACTATCTAGGATTTTCTTGCGCGGCTTTGGCAAAGAAATTTTTATAACATCTTATCATTACAGCTTTTATAAAGGCCTGACTCCTCTCTGGGCACGCCAAGTTCCGTACACAATGATGAAGTTCGCCTCATTCGAACGCACTGTGGAATTTATTTACTCATATTTGAGTAAACCCAAACATGAATATAACAAATTACAGCAGTTAGGTGTTTCTTTTCTTGGTGGATATATAGCAGGAGTGTTCTGTGCTATCGTCAGTCACCCCGCCGATACTTTGGTGTCCAAGGTGAGTTATTCATTTCAACGCCGAGAAACGATTACGATAAATGAATTGATTTAAATTAAATTCTATACATCGAAATATAACGAATGATAGCTTAACAACGTCAAGAAAGCTGAAGGCGAGTCGACAGCTGCTCTTTCGCTACGTCTCGCAAAAGATCTCGGTTTTACGGGCCTTTGGCGTGGTCTTGGTACACGTGTGATTATGATTGGCACGCTCACTGCCCTTCAATGGCTCATATACGACTACGTTAAGGTCTACGCTGGACTTCCAACTACAGGTTCGAGCGGAAAAGATGAAAAAAAAAGTTAAATATGCCGACTCGCACCCCACAAGGTGATCGTGCACTCTTGCGCTCAATTGCGTTGGCAAGGATGAGAGGTGTAGGATCGGCCATTGCTGAGACACAAGACTATGTCGACTGGCTGCTTTATTCATACGACGAAGAGGAAGAAATTGAACAGCTGCTTGACGAATTATTCTATTATTAAAACAATATATGATAGAGCTAGCATTCATCGAAGCGCTTGTCTTTTTTTTTTTTTTTGGATGCTATAACGGTATTATGCATTCATTAACTATCAGAAGACTCTTCAAATAAAAATGTGAAGTTACCATTCTCCATTGTATGTTGTCCGAACTATTTACAGGACCTAATTTTGGAATCACTGACCCGCTTACCTTCAATTGATGCGCAAAGAAAGAAGAGCAGTCAAACATTCCAATAGTTTAATATGCTCTACCTGCGGAGCTCACGAATTCAGCGGGAATTAAAAGACGTGAATTTGACAAGATAGAGTATCCGTGTTGTGCCAGGTGAATATGTGGGGGATATCTATCAGAATAAGGCAATTTATGGGAATATTTGTGTCACCCATATTCTCCAAATACAGTATGTCCTATTCCATAGAACGTTCCACAACCGGTGATGGTTGACCCTTAAAGAGTTATCCATAGTAATAAGCTCTGCTTTCTTAGCTGAGGTTTCGAGGTCTTTATTTAGGCATACATGGGGTGCTTTTTTAGCTGAGAGTTCAGCATTTCTGTCTACGTATAAGCAAATTCACTTCCTTCTAAGTTCATCAATCTTGGCTACAAGTTTTGAATTTAACTCCCTTAATAAATCAATTGTGCATTATGCGACTACAATAATGTTACTTTTAGCAACCCCGCCGAAAATACTAATACTAATAAAAGAATAACCATTCGTTTGCAAACTAGAAAGTGCTTTGTTGAAATGAGCTGCCACTACCGAAATACTCGCACCTTAATTACATGTTATCCAACCATAAAATTTGTAATTGTAAAAACATTAGCTTAATTATGTATTTGGACCGTTTTACATATACGCAACGTTATACTTCCTCATTACAAATAAACAGAAGCAATTCTTGAATATCCCAGCTTATGTAAAGCCAACGCTAGTCTTGCTTTGATATTAGTTATCCATACTAAGAAGTTCTTAGCGACAGTTAAGTAGGTAGCCGGGTAACTTCTTCGATGCAAGTGTATAATTGAATGAATAACTGTTGCCGTAACATTTATCACCTTCACTACGTTCTATATCGGATCAATATGTTCACATCGTGAAACGGTATATTAAGATATCTGTGAAAAGGCTACTCATACGCAAGTAATATTCACTCAACATATCTCTTATGGAGAATTTTAATTCGAAAATGTTTCTTTAAACATTAACTTGCAAACATACACCTGTTGAGAACAAGATTATTTTTACGGATAAGTAGCCGGTAAATTTTATAAGATAATAAATGTGTCGAAAAACAATTATGTTCAATAATATTTCTACAATTCGCAGAGCTAGTAATTATGCTTATAAAATAATGTTTATTTCATCGTTTTAATATTAAAAATTGAGTACCAAGAATTTGATCAAAAAAGTGAACGGCCCAGTATTAGTATATATACAGTGTTACAAAAGTATTTGTATCAGTAAAATCTACAACAGCCAAGATGTTGAAAATCCCACATCCTCGGGGTTGAAGCTGCGGAACTTAATCCCTTGGGTGGCTTTCGTCACGGAATATATGATTTGGGCATACTAAATTTGCTAAAACTTTTTGTAACACAATGTATATACTTTAATACGGGCATAGGTGTTCTAACACGACTGTGGATCGATATATTTGCTCAACCATAGTGTGAGTTTCAAAGAAAGAATTCTATTTACCGATCTTGACCTGCCGGTTTATAATTAATAGAGTAATTATAGCGATTATGGCCGAGATAGTTATAATTTATTTGGCTAATACCACCATGACAATGGGATTAAAGGTCACACACAGACATTTTTTGGCCGTTGATCCTTGACAAATCGGGCTGTTCCGATAAAGTAACTGTTTTATATTTATACAAAAAATAAATCGAGTACGGATTCCAATTAGAAAATGAAACCAAAATTTGCGCAAATCGAGTACGAAAATGTTAACGGAATGACATGGATGAAAATGTGGAGTATAACGCGGATGAAAAGGTCGAAGGAGAGGAGTTGGAACGGACCGCAAGCATGCGACCTGAGATTGTTCAATCTTCTTCACGAACGCCTTTGCTACACAGATATGATTCTCGAGCACTTAAACGCAAAATAATATTAATCTTCATAGGGTTTGTTCTTGTAAACATCGCAACATGGGCTGGAACTGTGATTTCATTTCGTAATTATCCCAAGCTCATAGGCACAGCAAGCCTAGCATATATGCTCGGTCTTCGTCATGCTGTCGACGCAGACCATTTAGCCGCTATCGATAACGTCACGCGTAAACTTCTCCAGACTGGCCAGCGTTCTGTCTGCGTAGGCTTCTTCTTTTCGCTCGGACACTCAACTATAGTAATTGCCGCGTCTCTTGCTATTGCCGTAACAGCAATGACGATAAAAGACAAGTTCGGTGACCTCGAAACCATAGGCAGCATAATTGGAGCGTCTATCTCGGCGACTTTTCTACTCGCAATTGGAATTATGAATACATTCGTCCTCGTATCTGTTTACCGCTCTCTCCAACGATTGAAACGTACAGGTACTTTTGAAGAAGAGGATATAAATGACATTTTGAATAATTCTGGTTGTCTTGGAAGATTCTTTGCCCCGGTGTTCAGATTCATTGATAAAAGTTGGAAAATGTATCCATTGGGCGTTTTATTTGGTTTTGGATTTGATACGTCTACCGAAGTTGGACTTCTTGGTATTGCTGCCATCCAAGCAAATCAAGGTCTAGCTATATGGTTGATTATGTACTTCCCTTTGCTCTTCACTGTCGGAATGGCTACCATCGATACCCTCGATGGTATTCTCATGTTAGGAACTTATTCTTGGGCTTATATTAATCCTGTTCGTAAGCTGTATTATAACCTTACCATTACTTTCCTGTCAATTCTAATTGCATTCATAATTGGCGGAATCGAACTTTTGAATATTATTGCTAATCAACTGGAGGCTCAAGGTCCTTTCTGGGCATTCCTGGCTGCTTTAGGGGATCATTTTGGAACAATGGGCTTTATCATCATTGGACTATTTGTAATCACATGGATCATTTCGGTTATATTTTACCGATTTAGTAGCTATAGAGAATTAGAGGAGAGATTAGTGCACCAATCCGAAGAAACCGCTCACGCAAGTAATGCTTCCGATGACGGCGCAAAGAGCACTCGAAACAGTCACAAAGACTCTGTCGTTGTTGGGGTTGACGAGGTAAATCAGGAAGAAATCCTGTCAAGCAACAGTAATGCGTAATAAATCTTTCACGGGTGTTGTATCAACGGTCGCATGTTATTTATTAAGCCTGGCAGAATGCAAACAATTGATTTAAATCTACGAATCGCCTTCCACACCTGTCCAAGTACCCATCAACGACTTTCTTTAACGGAACAAACAGATGGCGATTCTGCTCTATCATCGTTTTCGTTTGATCTGTATTTAAACATAGTTAGAGTGATATCACGGACAAAGACTATTGATTATGCATACAAAAACACTCACCCTCAATAACCCTCTTTTTAGAATTCAATGCCTTGTCGACATCGAACAGAGTTGACAGATATAACAACTGTTCATATAACAACGTATCCGAATACTATCATAACAATGTTATAGATTAATATTGAAATTTGATCATATTTAATAGTAATAAGGAAAGTACCTCGGCGACTGCAGTTCCACGGCATCCGGGATGTAAGCATCGTTTTCCATGCATAAGTCTGGTACGATTACGACATGCCTCGTCGTCGCAGACCAGCCACCCTTCGTAATATTTAGTTATGTGCCATCGAATTTGACATGAAAGCTGTGCAATTAGAGACGCTATTGGGAGTGCTTGACTACATTCTGAATTCGGACACAATATTCCCGATGGCGAAAGAATATACCCCTCCTGGAATAGTAGAATAAAAGACATTGAGTTAGGCGATTACGTATCCATATCGCCCATATTCATGTGATGAATTACGTACACTTTTTGAATTCACTCCTTCGAATATGGATTGTCCTTGACAATATCGACAAATCGGCTTAAATCTGTCTGCATTCACAAATCGTTCTTCATCACTGATCTGAGAATCGAGTGTGTAAAGCTCTGCTACAGCAGACCCCGAGCCTATCGAAGCTCGGAACTTGGACGTATCGAGTCCTCACAAGGCCATATAATAAATTAATACAATCAGTGATAACAATACGAACAACAGGGCATGCTTCAAGTCTTAATTATGAGTACCTAAACTTCTAGCAATCTGTACAGCATCAGTTCCTTCAATGGGCTCACAAAGCCTCGCGACAGCCGGGTGAACTTGCTGATTTAAATACCATTCATAATCTACTAAAACAATTAAATCATGTCATTCATTATACGTAAAACCCTCAAATTTGATCGATATCATACCAATCTTTAATGTGTCCGAAGATGATATATCGTTGGGATGTCTCGCACGATCTGCAATGATTTTAGTTTCCTTAAATTCCTCCCCGGCGCAAATTACGTACGGTATCGTGTCCCCAGTACGAATGCCAAGCCCCATTTTCTTCATTTGCAGCGCAACTTGTACATGTGGTTGATTTTGTGCGTCAGCATAGTCCTCCGGTGCTTTTGTGAGATTCTAGTAAAAGGATCTGCGTTAGATTCTCGTCCATGTGAGTAACATATAACTTCTTTCCAACAGACCTTATTTATGACAAATTTATCTGTGGGTATTCTACCTAGACGCGTCTCATCAGCCAAGGTGGTGAGGAACTTGTGTATTCTATTTAACACATCCTCTCGATCGTCAGGTGACAAAAGCTGTTCTAATACATATCTTATATTATGGATGAAATAATTTACATCAATGTCGAGAAATAAACCTAGTATGATTCCAAATTAAATCTTCAAATACACACTTCGATGCGTCATGTGACAGACCACACCAGTCTCTCCTAACAAGATCAAGACCCTTTGTCTCAATCGAAGTCTCCAACACGCCGTTTTTCTCCTCAACGATCAGCGCTGCGTATTTTTTCTTTTTCAATAACAACATTCTCCGAAAGAAACCATCCATTTCGATCTCAAGTAGTTTGTATCTTTCATTGACTTTTCTTTTCAGTAAATTGCCCATCTCACGTACTTTCTTTAAATCCATTTCATTCGTGTAAATCATTATGGAATCGGTATCGCCATATATAACCTAACCAATAGAGCGTATTTAAGAATGCAGAATCGCTAGTCTGAAATAACGTAAATTAATGTCTTACTTCCATCCTTTCACTCTCTGCTAAATCAACTGTATTCTGCAGGATCTCACGACCCTTCGACGTAATTAGCATAGCCAAAGATTTTGCGTAAAACCGGGAGAATGTAAATCCAAGGCATCCATACATACTGTTTGCAGTGAGTTTCAAGGCTTGTTGCCTAATGTCATACTAGTTACAAAAAAACACCTCATTCCGTCAGTGACCGAGACTTTAATAACAAAATATAAATGCATTGTTAATAGCCTACCTGCATTCGAACGCTCTCTGCGATATGAGGGTCTTTCAATAACCGCTTCACCTGCCTTCGTCTGTCTACCAAACTAGCAAGCAGTTTTGGAAGGATGCCTTGAGGTAGTCCTGAATCTGGGATGTCAGGTACCCGCTCTTCATTATCCTGAAACACATCAAGAAGAAGTTATACCTAACATACAGAGATTCGCATACTTCATGTGGAGTATTGAGTCAAGCTATTACCGTGCCATCACGAGATATTGTCGTAAAGCAAATATTATATTCCTGAATTATAGATGGATATAAACTGTTAAAATCTAACAGCAGAACAAATTTGTCATAAAAGCCTTTTTTAGGCTCTAATACAAGACCACCAGCATAGGCCGGTTTTCGTCTTCCACTCTTCTTTATTGATTGATCTACATGTAAAAAAAAAACAACTTAAGAATCAGGTCTGTCTTTCAAAATCTATACGTCTTTACATACCATGATCGTCAACTCCGAAATCGGAATGTTTGTTCTTAATATTTGTGTAAGCTTTATCTGGACATATGTACTTGTTACGATGAAATTCATGAAGCAGTAAGCTCTCATTTCGTTCTGCTCTGCCTCCGATCAGTGTCCTCGCCCTGAATATTAGCAGAGATTAGAGATGTATTTCCGTCATAAAAAATCTGCTAGCCATTTGTTACTCACCAGGTATTGCCTGCTAAATTTGTTAATTGTTTAGATAACGGAAGAATTTGCAATCTAAATGTCAACCCAGCGGCAAGGTATGCATCACTCTCGCAATGTTTGATGACATGAAATAAGTTAGCTGAAGTTTGGAAGTATGTATTTATTTTGGAGAATTCGATATCTTCGCGTTTGAATTTCAATTGAGATGATGCCAGTTCCGTCAGCGTATAATTTTTGGACTTAATCAGATCCTGAAAAAGATGCGGAATACGTTGATGTCAGAGTCAATACGTACTTAATTAGAAAACGCGGTCATTTGAATTAAATCACGCATATATAGTAGAAACATATCCAAAATTTATTACCCTTGCATTCAAGTAAGTGTCACACATGAGGCGACCACTGACAATCGCCTTCTCCATATATGTTGAGTCGCCCATCCCCCCAGCGCCCGTTTGCAGTTTAGGCCACCTTATAGCAAGTCAAGACTCAGTATGTGGTTGGTAGTATTTAGAATCAACTTTATCATTAAATGGCTCTTACGTAGTTCGCCGCAGTCGTCCAAGTTTAGACCAGCCATCAATCTTGAGTTCTTTCATCCGATGTAACAATACGTCAAGGTCAAACCCAACGAAATTGTGTCCAACTAGAACATCCGGATCGACTCGATGGATGATGGCTAAAAGACGAAATAAATCAGCGAGGTCAGATTTTTTTATGCATGAAACATTGTGTACTTACCTATAAGGTAATTCAACAATGATCTTTCGGTTCTAGTTATTTCTAATTTAATGCCAAGATGCTGCGCGTTGTCATGAAATCCAACCGGATACGGAGTATTATTCAGTTGACGCACCACAGTAAAATAAGTCGACGGAATCTTTTCGGGTGGATCGGCAGTATCTATGGGGACTATTTATCAACAAAAAAAAACGCGTATTAATTAGCGATTATCGCCTCGATAAATTGCCGCACATCGTTATTCTGTATACAAACCATTTCTAAAAACTAGTGCACTAGCGATGACAATTTCATTAACTTTTTTTGTTGGATTCATAACTGTGCGTAAACTAAAGCACATTATCGTTACTGGTGGTGGGTTTTGATATGCCGAGTCGTTTGTGTCTTTGAGTATGTCGATATCCTTTGGGTCCTCAACTATTATTTCGGTCTTGCACCAAGAAATCTACACAGAAGATGAACGTTATGACTAATAAAGTTTTATGTATCAAATTAACGCATTCTTAAACTTACGTTGGTGTCGGTCGGTGTAGCATTTTTTATTTCTAACCAGCATGGGCCCATTACTTTCCTCTTTATGAGGAATAACTCCAATGCAGAAGTGTTTGTACCAAACATGTGACTAAAAGTCTCGCCAGTCAAGTTATTCGGGAGTTGTGGTTCTATGTTGATGTAATATGGCACATTGGTGTTAAAAAACGAGACCGGAAGTGTCTACAACTGACCAATTAATGAAACCAACTTACGCGAGAATGAATATACGACTTTTAAATATTCTGTTTCGGAAGGAATATTTGGCAACTCGAAGGCATACTTGCGAGTAACAGGCTTCGCCGCCCATTTACGTATTTGGTATTTAGACCGTATCCCATTAAACTCTGCAATGACATCTTCAAAGTTTACTTCAATTTCGGTTTCATTACCGTCTCCTGCAAATTATCAAGAGATTAATTTCATAAACGAGACCAAT